TAGGAAGTTGTGTTGGTTTTACCAAGGGGTACAATACAAAGTCTTTTTTTTTTCCTTTTTAAGTGTCTTTTACCTGAAGATTTATTATTCATCATCTTTGGTTATTTGCTGATCCTGATAAACTATCTCTTTCCCCCCTAGTTATACCATAATTATAGAAATTATATTAAGCTCAGTGATTGGGATAGGAATAGGTATAATGAGGGAACAAGGTTGAGGCATAATTTTTTTCCTTTTCTGAAAGAACTCAGAGTCTTCAGAGGAAGACAAGACTGATATGCAAGGAAAGGTGACCAGCAATAGAAGAAGCTGCACAGGTCAAATGAGAAACCCCAGTCCACAATTATTGAGGCAGAAATCAATGTCATTTGATCTGTCAAGAAAACTTCCAGAAGGAGTCACAAATCCCATAGGGAAGACAGACAACCTGAAAATTCTCATAGTTCTAAGCACTAGAATTCTTTACAAGGTCATGGCAGATACATAGACAAAAATACTGTGGAAAAGGAGAAAGACAATATGATTAACACGAGTTTCACAAAATATTGATTGATGTACCATGGAAACAATAGAAATACATGATTACTTTATCTCATTTTAATACTTCAAATCAAAAGCATATCATATGTATTTATATTGTTACCTTCTCTCTTCCTCACTTCACTTCCCATTCATTGAAGTAGGAAATTGATGCCTTCCACCCTCACCAACAGACCAATAAATAATATCATAATAAATGGAGAAAAGATTGATGTTTTCAAAGACTTTATTTTGCTTGGATCCACCATCAACACTCATGGAAAAAGCAGTCAGGAAATCAAATGACATACTGTGTTAGGCAAATCTGAAGCACAAGACCTCTTTACATTAAACAAGAGCAAATATGTCAGTTTTAGTACCAAGGTGTGCTTTACCCAAGCATATTATTTTTAATAGTCTCAAGTTATTGATGGTGTTGTCAAGGGCATGTTGAGTCTGTTTCAACTCATAGTGAACTGATAGGATTTCCAAGGAGCAACTGGTGACTTTGAACCACTGACCTTGTGTTCAAACAGACCTTGCAACCCAGGGCTTTCCCTATAGTGCCTCATCAGGATTCCTTAATAGCCTCATATCCATGTGAAGTTGGACAATGAATAAACAAGACCATAGATGAATTGACGCATTGAGTTATGGTTTTGGAGAGGAATATTAAAAGTACCATGGACTGCCAGAAGAACAAACCAATCTACATTGGAAAAATACAGCCATAATGCTCCTTAGAAGACAGATGGCCAGAATTTGTTTCTAATATTTTGGGCATATTTTCAGGAGGGACCAGTCCATAGAGAGGGGCATCATGCTTGTTAAAATGGAGGTCAGCAAAAATGAGAGAGAGCCCCAGTAAGATGGATTGGCACAATGGCAGCAGCAATGGGCTCAAGTATCACAGTGATTGTATGGTTGGTCCAGGAATGGGCAGCGTTTCATCCTGTTACACGTAAGGCTGCTATAAGTCAGAATTAACTCAACAACAACTAACAAACAACAACCCTAATATTGTCTCTTACAGTACAGTATAGACGAGATTACTGACTCCTAACAAAAATCAAGACTGCTCTCAATAAGTTGAGAAAGGGGCACAATACACAGGTTAATAAACGAGTATTTTCATTGTCTATAAAACAGTGGTTAATAAATTAGTGGTAAAGTATGAGAAAACCAGTGGTGGGGATTGCAGATGACAGTATTGCCACCACCTGCCCAGTGGGTAAAACAGTTCTCAACATTTTCCCACTGTAAGACACATGTAATATTACATTTAAAGGTATGACATACCCTTAGATATATATCCACACAAACATGCATGTACCCAACAATACATTAGTCTCAACGCTATAGCTCAGTCTTTAACTTTGCACAGTATTGTGTGGTGTTTAGGATACAGACTCTGGAACCAAAAATTCTGGATTGTGTAAAACAAATTCACTGTTTTCTGCATGGTCTTGAGGAAGTCACTTAATCTCTCTGTGCATTAGCCACTAAAGAATGAAGACCAGAAGAGTTGTGGGATGACATTAAGAATATCATACAAGAAGAAAACAAAAAGTCATTAAGAAGACAAGAAGAAAGAAAAGAACAAAATGGATATGAGAAGAGACTCTGAAACTTGTTCTCCAGCATGCAGATGCTAAAGCAAATGAAAGAAATGAGGAGGCAAAACACCCGAACAGAAAATTTTAAATGGCAGCTTGAGAAGACAATGTCAAATATTATAATGAAACGTGTATATACCTGGAGTTAGAAAATCAAAAGGGAAGAACACGTTCAGTATTCTCAAGCAGAAAAAAACTGAGGAAAAACAAGCGTCTCAACTTGATATACTGAAAGATCCTGTGGGCAAAGTATTGAATGATGCAGAAAGCATCCAAAGAAGATGGAAGGAATGCACAGATTCATTGCACCAAAAAGAAATGGTTGATGCTCAACCATTTCAAGAAGTAGCATATGATCAAGAGCCAATGATACTCAAGGAAGAAGTCCAATGTGTGCTAAAGGCATTGGCAAAGAAAATACCTCCAGAAATTGATGGACTACAATTTCAAATCGTTGAACAAACAGTCAAAGCCCTGTAGTTGCTCATACATCTATGTCATGAAATTTGGAAGACAACACCTGGCCAACTGATTGGAAGGATGCATGCTTGTGCCCATTCCAAAGAGAAGTGACCTAATGGAATGTGGAAAACATTGAACAACATCATTAACACTACATGAAAGAAAAATTTTGTTAAAGATAATAAAAAAGATGACTAGAACAGTACAATGATAAAGGAACTTCCAGAGGAACAAGCTGGAATCAGATAAGGATGTAGAATGAAGGATTTCACTGCTGAAGTCAGATGGACCTTGGCTGAAAGCAGAGAATTTAAGAAAGTTGTTTACCTGTGCTTTATTGACTACTAAGGCTTTCAGTTGGATTGTGTGGCTCAGGACAAGCTATGGACAACATTGTGAAGAATGAGTATTCCAGAACACTTAATTGCACTCATAAAGAGCCTACACAGAGATAAGAGACAGTCATTCAAAGGGAACAAGGTGACACTGAATTGTTTAAAATCAGGAAGAGTGTACACCAGGATTGTATTCTTTCACTATAATTATTTAATCTGTATGCTGATCAAATAATCCGAGAGGCTGGATTATGCCAAAAAGACTGTGGCATCAGGGAGACTCATTAACAACCTGCAACATGCAGTTACAACCTTGCTTGCTAAAGCCAAAAAGGGCTTAAAATACTTAACTGATGAAGATTAAAGACCACAGCTTTTGGTATAGGTTGCACCTCAATGTAAAGAAAGCAAAAACTCCCACCACTGAATCAATAAATAACATCCATATAAATGGAGAAAAGATTGAAGTTGGCAAATACCTCATTTTGCTCAGACCTACCATCAACAACACTTATGGAAGCAGCAGTCAAGAAATCAAATGACATGTTACATTAGACAAATCTGCTTCACAAGACCTTAAAGTGTCCAAGAGCAAAGATGTCAGTTGAAGGACCAAGGTGTGTCTAATCCAAGTCATAGTATTTCCAGTATCTTCATATGCATGTGAAAGTTGGACAATGAATATGCAGAACAACTTAAGAATTGATGCATCTGAGTTATGGTGCTGGAGAAGAATACTAAAAGTACCATGAAAGAAGAAACAAATCTGTCTTGGAAGACGTATAGCCAGAATACTCCTTAGAAGCAAGGATGATGAGACTGTGTCTTTCATTCTTCAGACATGTTATCAGGAGGGACCAGTCCCTGAAGAAAGACATCATACTGGTAAAGTGGAGTTTCAGCTAAAAAGAGGACGATCCCTAATGAGATGAATTGGCACAGTGGCAGCTGCAATAGGCTCAAGTGTTAACAATGATTGTGAGGTTGGTGCAGGACTGGGCAGTGTTTCATTCTGTTGTGCAATGAGTAGGAACTGACTTGATAGCATATAAAAACAATAACTCACCATACTGCAAGTAGAAGATCTTCAAGAAATGATTAGGAAATGAAGCCAAACTGGTTCCAGAATGCCCTGTCAGAAGGAAAAGTGCATAGTAACATGAGCATATTTTGATTGAATGTTTAAAATCCTTCCTTTACTTATGATTTCTTCAACAACCATATATATCTCTTACTTACTATTTGTTAGCCACACATTTCTTGTTTCTGTTTTTCAATCAGTTCTCTGTGGTTTCTGCCTCAAGACCTTGCCCCAAGCTAGTCCTTCTGCCCTAATTCTCTTATTCTGGTTATTTTGCATAACTGGCAATTACTCATTATTCAAATCTCAACTATGTGATATGTATCACCTCCCCAGAAAAACCTTACTTAACACCATTCTAAAGGAGATTTCTGGCCTTTATCATCATCTATATCTTCATTAACATTTATCTCTCGGTGATATTTTCTTGTTATGTTTAGTTACTATGGTTCAAACTCTATATTTGCATGGATCTTGTCAGCCTTGTTCATTGCAGTGTTCCCTTTTGTATAACCAGCACATAGTAAATGCTCAACAAAGATTTGTTCTATAAATAAGTTAATTATCCATATTAGTAAATATCTTAAATGTACTAATCACCACATACTAATAAAGGTAAGCTCCTTCTTAATCTAGCAAGACTCTAAATGTATGAGTTTCCACCATTGCCATTGGATAGTGCATCTTTTTAGGAAAAATGTACTTCTAAAGAATATTTGGAAAACTGTAAGGTGATACAAGTCAATATTTTATTATTTGGCAATATGTTTTCAAGAATTCAAATTAAACATTTTGCATTCTATTAAATATGTTGTTGTTGTTAAGTGCCATGGGGTCAGTTCCGACCCTTAGTGACCCTGTATAGGGTTTCCGAGGAGTGGCTGGTGAGCTTGTACCACTGACTTTGCAGTTCAAACCAACTTTGCTGTCCAGCGCATTACTCCACAGTACCATGGAAAATGAAATTTATTTCTTTTCCTTCTTCAGATCTGAGGATGAAGGTCATGCTGGGCAAGCTGAACCAGCTCCCCCACCAGCCACTGAATGGAGTGTCCAGAAGAAAGTTTCACCACTGTGGTGTGCCCGAAGAGGGTAGCAGCGGAAAAGAAGCAACTGTGTCTGCTCCTAGTATTACCAGCATCACGTCCCACAGACACACCTGTCCTCCAGGCTTTCCTGTTCAGGTGTACCTGCAGGAGACTGACAAATGGAAGGAGACCCAAGAGCAGCTGCTTAGATACCAGTTGGCAGGACAAGATCAGCGGCTGATGCTCTGCCCAAACCTGCCCAGACAAGAGGAGCAGAAGTTGCAGGGTCAGAGTTGTCTGAGCAAGGCCAGCAGCAACTTGGGACTTTCCTAAGAGAAGAAATCTTCTGTGGTGCCATTGAGGCATTGTTCCTTCATTTAGTACATCCAGAGACCATTCGGGAGCAGCTGTGAGCAGAAAGTGTTGTGAGCCATTTGGGCTTTAAAATATTTCTGTATAATGAGAAGGGGAAATGAGGTCTGACCTATGGTAATGACTAAGGGAAATTGTAGACTCTGGATTTCTCTTTCAACTTAAATATGGAAGTGAATCATATAAATGCTTGAAGACTGAAACTTTCTAATATGCTTTCTGTATTCATAGCTAATCCTAATCCAATGTCAGGCAAATAATTTGTTCTTAGATAACACGTACTTCATTTTTTTGTTGTTACTTTTTTTTAGTTATCGATTTGCCTTCTGGGAGTCCTGATGTGGGGTTATAGGATAAGTACTGAACTGTTATCCCAAAGGTTGGGGGTTCCATCCCACCAGCTGCTCTTCAGAAATCCTATGAGTTAGAACCGATTCGATGTCACTTAACAACAGCAAATTACCTTCTGAGGCCTTGTGTGGTGGTGTAGGATAAGCACTGGACTGGTAAACACAAGGCCAGCAGTTCAAACCCATAAACCACTGTCTGAAACCCTGTACAGGGTCACTATGAGATGGCACTGACTCAACAGCACACAACAATAACAGTTACCTTCTGGATTTCACCGGCTTAAAAATGATGTAATACTGATGTATACCAGCAGGGGTTGCCATTAAGCTTCCTCTGCGATGACAGCCCCCTGCATCTGTGGTAGGAAAGATTCCTGAGCTGCACTACTGACTGAAAGAAGATGGCTCCAGTGCACCCAGAGACACCAAATGAAAAAAGCCTCGTGATCTCTTCAAAAACGTAACTACGGAAAGTCCTCTGTAGTGCAGCTTAACTCTGATGCACATGGGCTCTCCATGAGTGGGAGTCAACTCCATGGCAACTCGTTTGGTTTTCGTCTCAAGGTGGTGCCAACAGGATGGAACTTTCAGTTTACTCAGATGTGTAGCAGAAAAAAGGTCTGGTGATCTGCTTCTGAAAAAAAATTAGCCACCGAAAACTAAGAAACACTTCCTACTTTGGCATACACAAGGTCACCATGAGTCAGAATCAACTTATGGCAACTGTTTGGTTTTTGTTTTGTGATTACCATTCAGAATGCTTTCATCTTCTGTTATAGAAGGGGTCATGAGATCGTCTCTTCTATAATTAACTGCATTGTTACTGCAAAAAAATTCTTTATCTGATGGACCGTAGAAGACCTTGCACTATGACCTGTCAGAACTTATTCTCCAACCACACAGCAACTTCCTGGTTTCTTACAAGCTGATTTTATTTCATTGTTTCAATTCAATCATTACTGGCAGCTTACAGTAGTACAAACGTTATCAAGTTTGAACCTCATTGTATTTACAAATGAAAATTGATATTCTCAAGGGCTTCGCTGAGATTTTAGTTTAAGCAAAGATGTATAAATAGCAAGTTTAGGGAAGGAAATTGTCCATGGACCAAAGTTAGATTTTTTTCATTGGCTCATTAGTATCTGGGTTAAATTTACAACTGGAAGAAACCTGTATTGGGAGACCAGAGATAGTTAAGTAGCCAAGTAGATGATCACCTAGCTCCTGTATTAGAGAATCTTCTTTTGGACAAGGTAATATATAGCACTGTCCAACAAGGTGAGAAAGACCATATCATGTGTGCTAGGGGCTGTGATGGAGACTACAGCAGAGGGCCAACTGGTGTTGGTAATTAAGTTGGGTAAGGGTGCTAAGGTAATTTCACCTAATTTATATGTTTTACCAGGGCCCATCTATATTCAAACTATCGGCTACTTAAACATCCTTAATGCATCCTTGAATGTGGATGCCAAAGGCTTATGCTCCCAGTGTGTGAAGCAAAGCCAATAGACAGGAGGAGACTTTCTATAAAGAATTTTTGCTGAACGTCTACTTGAGTATAAGCCAGGATTTTCCAATATCTGGGAGACCAAAGGGATATCTTGTGTTTAACCTGCACCTGGGAGAGAAAATACACTCTTCTTATGCTAAATAGTAAGTAAAGGCATCCTAAATCAGCCCCATGGGAGGTACTGGTAGAAAATCACCATCTTCAAGGGATCTGTGAGAAAATGTTTCATCATACCATGAGATGACTCTTGTCCATTCTTTTGGTGTCTTGTGGACATCTCAAACCATAGGCTGTACTTAAATGGAGTTAGGCATTTTCTTTGTGAATTGCTTTGGATTCTGAGGGAGATCCCAGTAGACATGTGTAGGGAGAGCTGTCTATGTATAGGGAGAGCATTGAAGGGCAATCTAAGCTACAGGTTACTCAGGATGTAAAAGGTGGATTTCTGCAGGGTAGATTCTCTATGTAGTTGTATTTTGTTTGGCCATCAACAGTGTTTAAATGATAATAAAACAAAAAATAATTTCAATGATTTAAAGAGAATACATCTTTTCTAATTTAATGAATCCCTGTTATAATCAGCTCTTTATTCCAATTTTATCCGTTTCTGGTCTATGAAGATTACTACTTTAATACATACATAGTGTCCTCAAAAGATGTATTCGCTTTCATCAAAAAACATAGCAGAAGTTAAGACTTTCGAGGATTATAAAATAGTAGCAGTCTTAGTCTCTGCTCTGCCTTCTGATAGTTTGTCTTCACATCTCCTTTTATCCCAATAACTTCTTTCACCAGATCACATCCCAGCCCAGCATTCTTTCCTTAGTACTAAACACATCTATTCAGCTGCCTACTGAGAACTTGGAGCTCTGATGTGGCACTATAGCATAAGCACTGCACTGCTAACCACAAGGTTGGTGGTTCAAACTCATCAGCCCCTCCTTGGAAACCCTATACAAAGTTGCTATGAGTTAGAAACAACTCAAAGGCACTTACCAGCAACTAAAAACTTATACTGGAACACCCCACAGCTGCTATAAAGTGTTCACTTCCCTAAAACCTGCTCCTTCCATGCTTGTCTAACTCAATGCATGTTATCTCTGTACCCAGACCAAAAATCCAAGGAGTCAACCAGGACTCCTTGCTCTATTTCACCCATCTAGCCAGTCAACTATTAACTCGTAGTTCTACCTCTTCTTGACCCTTCTCCCAATCTTTGTTGTTATTGCTGTGTGCCACCAAGATGGTCTTGACTCATAATGATCCTATATAACACAGTAGAATTACCCTAGTTTCCTAGGCTGTAATTTTTATGGGAACAGATTGCCAGATTTCTTCTCCCCTGCAGTGACTGGTGGGCTTGAACCACTGACTGGTTAGCAGTCTAACATTCCTCCATTGTACCACCTGAGCTACTCTCTCAATCTTTACTATTGATAACAAATCTTCACTATCGATAACTACTGATACATTGTGCATTGTGGCTGTAAGACAATCTTTCTGGAAGACAAATTAGATCATCTCTTTTTAAGTGCAACCATAACTGATTTACTAATTTCACTCCAGCAAACCCTGAAATTTTGAGGCCAGAATTAACTCATAGGTCTAACAAGAAACCTATAGAGTAAATTGAAGTCCTCTTGCATGAGGCCTTGAGTCTAACCAGAATTTCTCACCAAGCAATTAAACTAGTCTTCTTTTCTTTCATCAAAAAATAGATAATATAGTAAATATAGAAGCAAAAAATGCAACTCTAGGTGCCTTTGTGACTGGATATAAACTAATTAGAGGACCACTGTAGGCCAGTCCTCCACTTAGCAGACCACTGTCATGGGTAGCTCTATAAATTTTTCTCAGAAGTTATAAACTTACCCTTTATCTAAATAAATAGCTGAGAAAGATGAACGAGTTGTTCCTCTGTTATATGAGTATTTAAGATATCTTCTTGCCTCCCATTATTGATTTTCTATGCATGATGGACTCCATCCCTCCAAAGAGATTGAACAAGCTGAAAACTAAGGACACTTCAAAAATGCTGGTAAATATGTACAGATATCCAAACTGAGAGATAAATACGAAAATAACTAGGGTAGTTTTGACCATCTCACTATGCTTTGGGGATCATGCTCAGGAAGGTACCAGACTCTGGCAGAACTTTCTATCTCTCCCAGAATGAGGGACTCAACCAATGTAATAAAGGTCGTGTCCTACAGCAGACTTGCCCATGTTATTGCTCAGTCTGGCTGCAGAGTACAAGGGAACCTTCAGCTCCCTCAAGGACCAACCCTTTTAGGGATTATTCAGTTGAATGACTCCTTTCCATTTAGCAGTTTAACTTCAAATAGATAAAATTACTATACACTGAAATGTATGCAAACTATATGCAAAAAGGAATACAGAGAAATTGAATGTAAATTGCATGCAAATATTATTCAACCAAGCTTCTATAAAACTGTACTTGCCAATAACAGTAAAGGATTTTAATTAATTCTGTCATTTAAAATTCATGCATTTATTCTATATTTTGTTCCCAGAATATATAATGTACTTGATGTCAACTTTGAAAAAGCTGTAAACAGAAAGCATTAAACTCTGATATTTGTAGAACAGTCAATTTTAACCTATACTGTAGTACTCTGACCGAATAAAGATGTATTTGATTCTAGCAGTTATTTTAAGACTTGAATTTGCTGTTGTTGTTAAGTATCATTAAGTTGATTCTGATTCATAGCAACCTGTATAGGCTTTCTGAGGAGCAGCTGGTGGGTTTGAATAGCTGACCTGCTGGTTCAAAGTCCAGTGGTGGTCCTATAGCACCACACCAGGAGTGCAGCACCAGGAATAGGTTGCTGAAAGGAATTGTGATTCCCTTGCCCGAAACAATTAAAGAAACTGGTAGATTCCGCTCATCAGTCTGTTTGAGTTGTAGGTTTTATTTAATGACATTTGTAGGCCTATCTAGAATTTCCTGAAATTCAAAGACTTGATTACTTCTATATCATCTCTTATTTCAGAGTCTCAAAATAATGATTTCATTTATTATTATCACCATACTTTTATTTCAAGATTAGTAGTTGGAACAAACTAGTAGTTCTCTTTCCATTTTTCTACTCCTTTACCAGCAAAACTGTTTGAAAGAGTTTTTTTGTTCATATCTTTCATTATTTCCTTAGTCTCCATT